ATTGCATGGAGGTGAGTTTTAAAGACAAATAGAGTCAGAGTCATAGAGCCATTCAGCACAAAAACAGACCCTTTGGTCCAACTTGCCTGCGCTGACCAGAAATCCTAAACTGATCTGGTCCCTTTGCCAGTAATCGGCCCACATCCCTCTAAATCCTTCCTGTTCATGTACCCATTCACATGCCGTTTAAATGTTGTAATTATACCCACCTCCGCCACTTCCTCTGGCAGCTTGTTCCAAACACACACCACACTCTGCATGAAAAAGTCACTTCTCAGGTCCTTTTTAAATCTTTCCTGGCTCACCTCAAACCTACGCCTCTAGTTTTGGACTCCTCCACCCTAGAAAAAAGACCTTGGTTATTCACTGTTTCCATGCCACTTATGATTATCTGTCTAACATTTAAAATAGTAATAGATGGAAGAGAATAGACATAGCTTAAAGTCCTGTGCCTGCTGTCAAATGCATAGCCATTTATATGCAATCCAGATTGATAATGCAGTGATATTCAGCTACGTCTTGTACAAGATGTCAAAGAGTACTGGAATATTATTCCCTTTATTAGTATCACGTACACCAAATGGAATAAAATCCAGGCAAAACTGAAATGTGTGCCTACACAAATAATAGAGACATAAAGGTACAAAACAGAAGCTTGATCTTGTAGGTCAATGTAATAGCTGAAAACTGCAGACCTATATTACACAGAATAGTTTCCCATTACACATTAATTTCCAATGAAACAAATTAGATGTGGACACTACTTTTTTCTGTGATGGAGTTTTCAGCTGTTACATTGTGGTTAAGAAAATTCATCAATGCTGCTTCAGTTCTGGTGTTTTTATCTGAAAAACACACAAGTTCTAAATATTGTTAAGGACATATAGATTTGCACATATGCAACACAGCAGCAGCCAAGCCAAGATCTCTTGAGCTGCTGGCAGCTCTTGTAAAAGTAAAATGTGAAATCAGTAGGTACCTCAATTAACAAATGATAGAGAGCGGCAAAGCTTCAGGAAAGTTAAAAAATAAGGACAAGGATTTTACAATTTAGACTTTTATGACAGTGAGTCGATACAGGTCAGTAACACAGATGTGTTGGGCCAATGGGCCTTCATGCATGTTTGAACGACGTCAAGTTTTTAAAGGCCAACCAGGAGTGTTTTGGAATAGACATTTCCAGAGGTAACAAAGACAGAAATAAGAACACAAGAAGTTAAGAACCAGGAGCAGGAATAAGCAGTTCAGCCACTGAGCCTGCTCCACCTTTTGATATGATCATGGTTGATCTCATCATTGGCTCAATTCCACTTTGCTGTGTACTCTCCATAATCCTTCAACTCATTAATAATTAAAAGTCTATCTATTTCCTCCTTAAATTTACCCAATGTCCCAACATCTACCGCAATCTGTGGTAGTGAATTCCACAGATTCACGATGCTTTGAGAGAAGTAATTTCTGTTAATTTATGTTTTAAAATGCTGCCCCTTATCCTAAAATTGTGACCTCTCATAATACTTAAGTATTAAGTTATAATATCATGGATTTATCATGAAAGATGGATTTCATGGACACACCAGCAAAGCAGACTAACTGCAACAGGGAAAACTGTTGCAGTTGCAAAAAACACAAGCTGCCTTATAGGAGTCACTGGCTTTAAAATACTTACTGAGAGAAGTTACATGGCACAGTTTGTGGAGGAAATACTGTTATTGGTTTTGAACATAGTCAGCCTAAGAGATAACTTGCCTGAAGCAACAAATTTTACCTTTTATCTCTCCTGCTCTGACACATCTCAGACCTCTGGAAAACTGGAAGGTCTTATCACCTCAAGTGGAGGTTTCCTAATTGAGAATTGGAAATGCTGTTTTCAGAAAAGTAAATTTGACTAGCATAACTGATCCAGGGCATCAACTCAGTGCCAACAACTTGGCTGCAAAGTAATTTCAACTGCAGGCCAGTATTTCAGACGATCTGAAAATAATTATTTTAGTTTGAATATAACTGTTACTTGACCAAAGACTTTACAGATCTTTGTATCTTTTCCAAGAACTGCTGTTTTTTGTGTGTATCTTTGTATTTGTGTAGTTTAAACTTTTGTGATAATCATTAGATATTTGCCTGGATATTTGCCTTCATCTTCAATAAGTTCATTGCCCATTTAGACTTAAGGAATCTAACCACTTTATTCTTGATATTGATGGACATATATATTTATCTGTATAGTATAAATTGCAGTATCACCTCCCTTTGAAATTCAAACTTTGTTGTTAACAGTAGGGGAGTAGGACAAGGAAAGGAATCAGTTCATCCCTCCTAACTCAGACCTCAAAAATATTTGGGGCCTTATCTGGAATTGAACCCACAGTCAAAAAACAGTAATTGGAAGTGGGATATAATTTTAAAGAACAACATGAAAGCTGGTCCAGATTTCTTATGTACTACAGTAAAATTGTAGTAACTAAAATTTACCCTTTTGAGGAAAGCGTGTTTTTAGTGTAGGTTGGAATAAATTAAATATTTTTTAAGGCATTGTCCATCAACAAATTGATTAGCATGGCAAGGCAGTAGGAGAGTGGAGCAAGCAATGGAATCAGTTCTCCCCTCCTAATTTGATCATTAAACCAGGGACGGTGAGATCAATTAGGGAACAGGTTTCCAGGGGGGCCTAAGGAATAGCTCCAGTCTTACTAATATTTGGTTAGAGAAATAACCGCTTATCCAAAATTAGAAGTCAGATTTGACACTCAAAATTTAGAGACACGTTTTTCATACCAATCCCATTTTAGCTGTTTGGCTCAGTAATAGGATTCAGTATTGCAGCATGAATGTTAAATTAACACTGTGCTTTTGCAATCTTTTTAAAAGCAATGTGAAGAGGATGCATTCTACTCATAGTTATTTCTGGGGAGAATGGCCTGTTCATGATGCCTGTAAATCTTTCCACTGTTACTATTTGTGAAGTGCTGAATGAAACACTATTCTAACAAGGAGGAGTTTTGACCAAATATAAAATATGAAGTGGAAATTAATTCTAGGATTTAGTGCTAATTAAACAATAGTGAATCAGCAGACTATTTTACATGCAGTCTGATTTTGTTTCCAATGTGAAAATTCACACCACAATTCGAGACAGTATTTTTCATTCTAACATCTGAACATAAGAAATAAATTCTGCAGATGGTCATTGGCTCCTTTAAGCTTGCATCATCATTCATCAAGATCATGGCTCATTGTCTGCCTTAACTGCATCTCCCCAGTCTAACCCCATATACTTTAATTCCGTTAAGATTCCAAAAACCCACTGACCTCTGTAATATTCAAGTACTGTGTTGAACAGCTTTCTAGCATAGACAATTACAAAGAGTTGCAACCCTTTGGTAGAGAAATTCTTCTCCGATTTTGATCTTGTGTTCTAGATTGTCCAACCGAGGCAACTAATTGCCCAGCATTTAGCCCCAACTAGCTCCTTCAGAATTTGATGTTTAATTTAGATCACCAATAATTCTTTTAAATGACAGAAAATATAGGCCTAGGTTACACAATCTAACAAACAGGCCTAAATTCTGGATGCCCCAACCTCAAACATGGTACTTGGGTGAGAGAATGGTGGGTCAGTGTTCCAATTTGCACATCTGTGGTTAAGAAGGCATCTACAAATGTTGAAGTGTAGCTCCCTAAATCAGGTTTGTTTTCCATGAATTGAAGGTACAAAACAAGATTTGTGAAGTTTGGTCTATGGAGAGGTAAAGAACCCTTTTAGATAAGGATCTGAGACACGTTTTGTGGAGGTAATGTGTCTTTGGAACAGTCGCAAGGTTGAGGAACTTCAGTTACATGGATAAATCAGAGAGACTGCAGCTGTTTTGCTTAGAGAAGGAAAGATTAAGAACACATCTAATAGAGATATTAAAAATCATGAAAGGTCCATGCAGAGTAGCTAGAAAGAAGTGGTTCCCATTCATAGGAAGGTCAAGAAGCAGTGGACATTGATTTAAGATGTTTGGCAAATTAAGCAACAATAACATGGGAAAAACCATTTTACATAATGCACATTTAAGCAAAAAGTTTCCAGGGCTAATGATAAAAGGATGGTGAAGTGGGACTCAGTGATTTGTTCTTCCAGAGATTTTTGTGGACTTGGCCTTCCTCTATGCTGCAACCATTCTGTGATTTTATGATTCCGTATCAAATGGATTGATAATGCCTGTATATATATATACAAACATGTAATGAATGCATCTGATGTTTCTCAATACTGCAAGAGATGTAAAGCAAAAAGCGAATTATCTGAAACACAATAGGGTACAAAACACACCAGAAACAAAGGCCTGGAGAAACTTGAAATACAAGTATACAGAGAAAGGTTCAATATTTGTACTAGTGAAAAACAGAATTCCCACCAATATATACTTTTTAATCCCTTCCTTTGTAAAACTAATACCAGGTGTGTGTGGAGTTCAAGATGTTCTTTTTGTTTATGCCTTGCTTCCCCGTATCCCCAAGATTATTAATGGTGTGGAAAAACTTAATCCTGAAAATTACTTTGAATTAAATTTTGAAAATAAAAAAGAATGCAAGAAAAGTCTTGAACTTATATGACACATTTCATAACTGCACAGCTTGACATGATTTGCGTTGTATTATGTTTCGCCAAGCTTGTGAATCTCATAGTCTCAGAACGTGGAGCAAACAATTTACGATTGAGGTGAGGAGATGTTTCTGTACCAAGAGGGGTGAAACCGTAGAATTTTCAATCCTGGAGGTTTGTGGATTATTATTCAGTCTTTTTTTCAGATTGTGCCACAACCACACCCAGCATTCTTCAGAGTGGTCAAAGAGCCACAAGTTTACATAGTTCATTTAGCCCCCTTCAGATGTTTGCATGTTTCAATTTTAAAATAACCAGCATCACAGACTTTTGCTTCACAAAAGGTGAAGGTTGACTTATTGCAAATATTTGATTATAAGTGACAAAGTTTAACAATAGAATAAACAACTGTTTAACAATAGAACCCACCCTTCTCTCCTTTTATTCTTTGTATATGCATTTTCATTTGAGAACCTTGTCACTTATAAACAGTTGCATGTTGCTTCCCCCACGTGGACTGAGCAGAACAGGTCTAAGAGTGATTAAATGTTCTTTCATTTCACTTTTACGGCACTGCAGGTTGTGGTTTGTGGTGGCCAGGTTTGGTACAGCAGGCCTGGAATCCTTCATCTGTCTCCCTGTTGAGAAGCAGTGACTTAATCAATATGTTGGTGATCTCTGCACAAAATGATTTCTCACAACCAGACGTTTTATTCAGATCAAAATGCAAAATGGCTGCTATATCAAAACTGTTGCATCTTGCTTCCATTTTAGTTTTTTTTTCAATTAGTCTAGGTCTGGGTACAGAGCTATCCATTGGTTTTTAGCTGTGGTAAATAAGGTTTAAAAATATCAGCCATCAGCTCAGATGACTAAGGTTTACAAGAATGTTGTCAGCACTGGAGGATTTGAGTTATAACGAGAGGCTGAACAGGCTGGGACTTTTTTTCCCTGGAGTTTAGAGGTCGAGGGGTGACCTTCTGGAGGTTTATAAAATCATGAGAGGCACTGATAAGGTCAACAGCAAAGGTCTTTTCCCTGGGGTAGGGGAGTTCAAAACTAGACGGCATAGGTTTAAAGTGAGAGAGGAAAGATTAAAAAGGGACTTTAGGGGCAACATTTTCACACAGAGGGTGGTGAGTATATGGAATAAACTGCCAGAGGAAGGCAGGCACAGTTACAACATTTAAAAAAAAACGTTTGGACATGTACATGAATAGAGTCATAGAATCATAGAGTTATACGGCACGGAAATAGATCCTACGGTCCAACCTGTCCATGCTGACCATAATCCCAAACCAAACTATTCCCACCTGCCTGCTCTTGGCCCATATCCCTCCAAACTTCTTATTCATGTACTTATCTCAATGTCTTTTAAACATAATTGTACCTGCATCTACCACTTCCTCTGGAAGTTCATTCCACACACATCTCTGTGTAAAAAAATTGTCCCTGGTGTCTTTTTAAAATCTTTCTCCTCTCATCTTAAAAATACGTCCCCTAGTCTTGGAATCCCTCTCCCTAGGGAAAAGACACATGCTATTCACCTTAACTATATCTTTCATTATGTTATAAACCTCCATAAGGTCACCTCTCAACCGTCTACGCTCCAGTGAAAAAAGTTCCGGCTTACTCAGCTTCTCCTTATAACTCGAACCCTTCATTCCCAGCAACATCCTGGTAAATTTCTTCTGAAGACTGTCCAGCTTAATCATATCCACCCCATAACAGGGAGACCAGAACTGGACTCAGTACTCCAGAAGTGGCCTCACCAATGTCCTGTACAACCTCAACATAACATTCCAACTCCTATACTCAAAGGTCTGAGCAGTGAAGGCAAACATGCTAAACGCCTTCTTAACCACCCTAGGAAAGGTTTAGAGGGATATGGGTCAAAAGCAGGAAATTGAGACTCATTTAGTGTGGGAAACCTGGGCGGCATGGATAATTTGGACTGAAGGGTCTGTATCCATGCTATATGCCTCTACAACTAAATGATCCTATGACAGGTTATTACTGCGATCAGAAGAGCCATTCACTCCTCGAGGACAGCCATTGCTCATTGTTAACCATTGGAAATATTCATTGAATTTTAAAAGGTCTCTTGTGATTCTTCCTGAGATATATCAGTCTGGTCTCAATACAAGCTGAATCCAGAAGGATAGTTCATGCGACTTAGGTGAGACTTCTTGCGTTCACGACAGCTCTGATGGCTAGATTTTTTGGAAACTAAGAAAATCAAGGGATATGGGGACATGTTGTGATGTAAGAAACCACAGCAACTAATTAATACAGAGCATCGTCCCAGAAATAACAACGTGATTTTTCTTCATGGAAATATCAAAAGACAGCATCTCTACACAGTTATTCAGGCTAATGTCCAAGGCCCAAACATCTTTAGCTGCTTCATCAATGACCTTCCCTGCATCATTAGGTCAGAAATAGTGATGTTGACTGATGTTTGCACAATGTTCAGCCTCATTCATGACTCCTCAGACACTGAAGTAGCCCATGTCCAGATATAAGAACACCTGGACAATATCAAGGTTTAGGCTGATCAGTGGCAAATAATATTTGTGCTACACAAATGCCAGGCAACAACCATCTCCAAAGACAATACAACCACTGCTGTTATCATTCAACAGTGTTACCATCACTGAAACTCCCATGATCAACATCCTTGGGTTTACCATAGATGAGAAACTCAACGGGACTTGGCTACAAGAGCAGGTCAGAGGCTAGGCTAGGTATTGGGGGTAGATAGCTGTTGAAGGACATGGAAGAAGACTTTTAGGCCCAAAAGTTATTATATTCGATGTTGAGTCCTGAAGGCTACAGGGTCCCCAAGCAGAAAGTGAGATGATGTTCTTCCAGCTTATACTGAGCCTCACTGGAACACTGCAGCAGGCCTGAGACAGAATGTTGGTCAGGGAAGACGGTGGTGTATTGAAGTGGGAGGCAACTGGAAGCGCAGGTCTATTTTACAGACAGAACATAGGTATTGTGCAAAGTGGTCACCTAGTCTGGACCTCATCTCCCCAGTGAAGTGCACCTCCTTCCAAGTCCTTTCACCCGCACCCACACTCTAGGCCCTGTCAGAACATGGGCTGCTTTCAGCACACTCTAGCCATTTTCACCCACTCATTGAACACATTATCAGTTTTTTTCCTTCCCTGGCTTGTTAACAGCCATCCCTCTGTCTGCCTAACTGATTTTTTTGCCCTCTTTTGGCTCCATCCCCATCTATCTGCTTACTCATTTCCTCCTCATCCCTTGTCATCAGCATAAATATCTCCTTGTCATAGTGACTAGTAGTTCTGAAGAAGGACCACTGGACTCAAAACATTGACTCCGCTTTCATTTCAAAGAGCCAGACCTGCTGAGTTTCTCCAGCAATTTCTATTTTTGATTCAGATCTTCAGCATCTGCAATTCTTTGTTTTATTTATATGCCAGGGGACATTTTTAACATGAAAATACAAGTAAAGAACTGCAGATGCTGAAAATCTGAAACAAGAACAGAAAGTGCTGGAGAAACTCAGCAGGTCTGAGGGCATGCAGAAAGAAAAACATAGCTAATGTTTTGGATCCAGTGGCCCTTTGCCAGAACTGACCAATTTCTGATGAAGGGTCACTGGACATGAAATGTTGACTTTGTTTTCTTCTCTATCAGACGTGTTGAGTTTCTCAAACTCTTTCTCTGTTTATTTCATATTCCTAACATGGACTATTTTACCATCTTTTACCGATTACTACTTAATGTTTCAAGATGAAGCAAGGAACATGTCACTGCTATGGTCTACTCTGACATGCATGGCACCAATAAAACTAGTACTTCTGGCAATAGAAAAGTCCAAAAAGCTATGTTACTTTGTGAATGTTGGAAGTACATCCCAACTGTTCTAGAGACTATGTTCATGATAAGGAAGGAATGGGGGGTGGTGACAGAAGCCTCAATTGCCAACTGCTGCATGCAGCCATGATGCATTCAGATGGACTATAACTGCATAAGAAGCTAAGAACAAGGAAGAGTAGAGTGAGAAGAACAGTCTTAATGCTGAGGCTCCTTTTGCTCACCTGCAGGAAGACATCATGGAAATTCTAACGTGGGCAACCATAAAAACATACACCAAATATTATACATTGCACAAGTAAAATGAAAAGATGAGACAATCATAGTTGCATTCTTCAAGTAAGAAGCCCGAGGAGGCCAATGATGCTGGAGTATCCAATTATTGCTTGTTTGCTCACCCACTTGCCAAAGTCACAATGGCCATAGAGGATTTTGTGTTGCTGCATGAAATATGGAAAACACATTTGACTGCATCAACAATATGGCAGAATATATCACACGTGTCCGAAGACAGCACACTAAGCAGACAGATTGAGTTTTTCCAGAGGTAACCCCCAACATATTTCAATACCTTTTATTGCCCAATGAAAATCTGAACCAATTGAAAAATAAAAGCATTTTTCACAAAGTCATAGAGTTGTACAGCATGGAAACAGACCCTTCAGTCCAAATCATCTTTGCTGACCAGATATCCTAAATTAATCTATTCCCATTCGCCAACATTTGGTCCATATCCCTCTAAACGACTTCCTATTCATATACCCATCCAAATGCCTTTTAAATGTTGTAATTGTACTAGCCTCCAAGACTTCCTATAGCAGCTCATTCCATACACCCTCTGCGTGAAAATGTTGCCCCTTAGGTCCTTTTTATATGTTTCCATTCTCATCTTAAACCTATGCTCTCTAATTTTAGACTCCCCTATCTGGGTATTCACCCTATCCATGCCCCTCATGATTTTATAAACCTAAATAAGGTCACCCCTCAGCCTCCAATGCACCAGAGAAAATAGCTCCAGTCTATTCAGCCTCTCCCTATAGTTCAAACCCTCTAACCACGCCAACATTCTTGAACAAAAACAGAAGTTGCTGGAAAAGCTCAGCAGGTCTGGCAGCATCTGTGAACAAAAAATCAGAGTTAACATTTCGGGTCCAGTGACCCTTCCTCAGTGAGGATTTTGTATAGGTGCTCTTCCTCTTTCCTGCGTCGTTCTGGAGTGTTGTAGTCTGTCCTGGCCCATTTAAATAGTGTCCTAATGCAGCTTTGTTTGTGGGCGTTGGGGTGGTTGCTTTGGAAGTTGAGGACTTGATCAGTATGTGTTGCTCTTCTGTATACTATGTACTGTATACTGTATGACCGTCAGGGAGTTCCAAACCTCAGACACACTGCAACACTCCAAAACTACGCAGGAAAGAGGAAGAGCACCTATACAAATTCCTCACTATAAACGAATATCCCAGCAACTTCATCCAAAGATGCCTACTAAACAGACAACAACAGGAGGACACAGTATGACCTAACACACTGGACACACTGCCCTACATCAAGAACATATCGGAACTGACAACAAGACTCCTAAAGACCACTAGGAATCATGGTAGCCCACAAGCCCACAGCCACTCTATGACAAACACTTACAAGGATTAAAGACCTCATTCCCACAACATGCAGAATCAACATGGTTGACAAAATAACATGCAATGAATGCAACAAACATTACATTGGACAGACAGGAAAGAATCTAACCATCAGAACACGTGAACATCAACTAGCAGCAAAACGGCAC